TTCGTCATTTGTAAGAATCTTCAGGTTCTTTAATGGATGCCCACCTGAATTTTCAGTAATTCGTCTCATCATTATTGATCCAGGATGGCCCAAACGGCAATGCCAAAGCACAAAAGTATTGAATCCGTAAACTTCTGGTTTACGATAGAGTGTGCTTCAAACTGTACTAATTTTTGAATAGTATAAGCCAAAAGATAAAGTTGGTAACTTTTCTACAATGCATTTCTGGCCAGAAATATTCTTTGTAATACAAAGATATTCCATGTTCATTTCATCTATTGTCTCAACATGATACCCATTTCGGCGGATATCTATAAAACTCAACAAGTTTCTTCGGGACTTAAAGGAGAATAATGCATGTCTATAATAAGTTTTCTTCCCTTAGAGAGAAATATAATGGCTCTTCCGGAGCCTTCATCAAACTTATATTACCAGAAATTGTTGAAACATTTGCTTTTTCCTTATGCAAATAAGAAAAGTATTTCTGATCCTTGAATATGGCATGAGTTGTATCAATAACACAAATATCTTCATGATTTGTTTTTGATCCAAACATAATTTGAGAATTATCCATATTCTTCAAAATGACATAAATAAAATATATTATAGTAAACATCATTATCAAAGCATAACTTTTATTTATGTACAACAATTATATAACCATACTATCTATTACAAACAACAAAAATTAAAATAGTTATATTTCTACAGATTCACTACCGATTACATGACTTGTTTCTCCTTCTGGGAGTGCAAAGTAATCAGCTACATCCAAATACATGAAGTCTAAATTATCTTTAGAAATAAAATTTGCTTCAACATTTTTCTCTGTCTTCTTCAGGGAGGCTTAATAAAGCTCAACCAGGTGCTTTGGCGTACGGCAGGTACGTGACCGGTGCGCTATTCCTCCACATCCATAGCATGCATTTTCTGCATTTAGTGATTGTACCGTTTCATGCTTTTGTTCATTCCTTTTCCACTGCTGGTGGTAGGAGGGTTCTTTGGTGCATTATTATTACCATGATTAGAGTTTCTTCCCCGACCACGGCCATGACCACGACTGGGCCACGACCTCTTCCACGTTTAGCTTGGTGAAAGTTCGTCTCATTCACTTCAGGGAATGGACAAGAACCAGTAGGTCGGCTTTCATTGTTTTTCATTAATAACCCATTATGTTGCTCGGCTATAAGAAGATGTGAGATAAGTTCAGAATACTTTTTAAATCCCATCTCTCGATATTGCTGCTGCAGGAGCATATTCGAGGCGTGAAAAGTGGTGAAAGTTTTCTCCAACATATCATATCAGTAATATTATCACCATATAATTTCAATTGGGGAATAATTTTGAACATAGCAGAATTATACTCACTTATAGATATAAAATCTTGTAGTCTTAGATGAGTCCAATCATAACGTGCCTGTGAAAGAACGACCATCTTTAGGTGGTCATATCTATCTTTCAAATTATTCCACAGTATGACTAGATCTTTAATAGTGAGATATTCCATTTTCACGCCCTCGTCAAGGTGATGGCGTAGGAATATCATTGCTTTGGCACGGTCTTGGTTTGATGCCTCATTTTTATCCTTGATGGTGTCTGCCAGACCCATCGCATCAAGATGAATTTCAGCATCAAGCGCCCAAGACATGTAGCTTTTGCCCGATATATCTAGGGCTACAAATTCAAGTTTAGAAATATTTGACATTATTTAGAAAAGAAAGTTCGTACCTCAGATACTTTCAAAGTATTTTACCATCAAATGATGTGGTGCAGTGGATGGGACTGCTCCTCCCTTAACCAGAGGTCTCGAGTTCGAGCCCTGGGTATGGAAAAATCCTTGGTAGGGAGCGGTTCCCCCCGAATGGGGCCGTACGCGGCGCGAATCCGGATATAGTCGGGCTCCAATGCGGGTACCGGACACCGGGTGGGAAACCAAAAAAGAAGTATTTGCTCGAGATGGCAGAGTCTCGTGCTGATAACATGTTATAAAATAACGACTATAAAGTAAATAAACTAAAGACAAGTATAGAGAGAAACTGATATATTATTCAATTTCAAACTTATGTACATAATAAACTAAAATCTCCTCTATTTATAGAAGAAAGCAAGTTGCTGTGTAAGCTGCTACTGCAAGCTGCTGTGTAAGCTGCTACTAAACCAGATATAGATAATCTTCAATTGGGGGTAATGTTTACCAGGTATGAATAATCTTCTACCGGGGGTAATGTTTATCCATAACGGAGTATCGAACAGATAAGCTTATTGTACCTGGTATGGATAATCTTCAACCGGGGGTAATGTTTATCTATAACGGAGTATCGAAAGGATAAGCTTATTGTACCCGATACGGATAATCTTCAACCAGGGGTAATGTTTATCCATAACCGAGTACCGAAGTGATAAACTTCTTCACGAGGCTTATTTTCAACAGAGTACTAAATAGATAAACATATTTACGGCGGAGTCTCATATGAATAAGTTTCTTCAGGAAGCTTATTTACAACGGAGTACTAAATGAACATCCATAATATAATATATTTATAACATAAACCCATTATTTCAAAATTTTAATAAACTTTTACATATAAATTTTTATTCTACGTTAAAAATTATGGATTCAGTTGAACCCGTCATTAACGTACTATTGTGTTACTCCTTAAAATGGGAAGACGGAAAGAAACCATAATTCAATAATAATCCACTTCTGAACCAAATCTTTTTATCGGCCTCTTCCTCAAAAAATTAAGAGGTAGAAAAATATTTGGGAATTATGTTTAACGATCCCCCTTTCTTGGAGAAAAAGCAAAGTTCAATATTTTTTCCTCAACTTTTGGGTTTGCCCTAGATTTACTTTAGACAAGTTCTATAGATTTTGTCAAAAAGGCCCCTCCATTTCAGCTTAATACCTAATTAGACCCCCAAAAAAGTAAAGTGAAAGGGCTTCCACAAAATTTTCCCTAGAGTAAGCCTCTGCTACTTCTTCCGCCATTAACTCATATCTAGAAGGTTCCACTGCAAGCTCGAAAAAAGCTTGTACCTTTGTGGGTGTTTCTGTTCATATTAAAATAAAAAAACCCATCTTTTTGTTCAATTCAGTAACTAGGGTTTTTCTAGGGTTTAACAATCCAGTGTACTGAAATGGTCAGCTCTAATGCTCTTCGTATTGCTCACCGGATTGCTCGCTGCACTTTTTCTTCCGGATATTTATTAAAGGGAGGTTGTAGGGGATATAATACAGCAGTGTACAATCAAACAAGGGGCTTGTTTTATTTGAATTCTAATAATGGTATGTGTAAATTTGACCTTTTGTTGTGTTATTTGAATGAATTATAGCCGCGGATGCATAAAGTTTATTTCTTTACTGTTTTGAATTTGATTTTTTTTTTTTTGCTATTGTATGAGTTATAGGGGGCAGTGAAAGGAGGGATTGGTTAAGACCTGGATTATTCAAAGCCAATTTTGGTGCCGCAAGATCAATTCATGGAACAGGTACCAATTACACACGCCCCATTTAATGATTGTGATGAATTATCTGTTTTTTGTTATTCTATGTGGAAAATATATTAAATGTGAATTTATAATTCATCTGTCGAATGTCATAAAAATTTTGGGAAATTTATGGATTCTATATTGGAGTTCTTGTGTAAAAAAGCTGAATTGATGGGTAAAACCTTTCTGTATGCTGCTCTTCCTATGCTAATTAGACCAGATAAAAAAAATACCTTTCTGTTCCTTCATGTTCCATTGTGCCATTTGATAGTATTTACTGTGGCAATCCAGCTATATTTCTTCTGGAGGTGTTTAGTGTAATTTCTAGGAGTTAGTTTCATTTAGTTGAAACAGTTGTTAACTTGCTGTGTTTTAACTCTTATTCCATTTTAATCAAAATCTTTTTGCCTCTAAAGCCTGATGAGTACACATTATGCATAGAGGCTGGTAAATCAGAATATAGAAACTATCATACTTCTGCTGTGTTGCTCGGTGTCTTTTGTAGATTGCAAGTTGCTACTTATTCCAAGAGGAAAAAGAAGCGGTATAGAAGCTCTAGCTAGCAGGCGGACAATCTTGTATACCCCTCCAACACAGAATGATGGTAGACAGATAGATAGGTGTATTGATGGATAGATAGGTATTATTGAGAGAGACAGAGAGAGAAAAGCTTGTTTCCAATTGAAGTTAGTAAGCTGATAGGAGAGGTGGGAGATAGTTTGAATTTACTTTTATCATGCCCTATGGTGCATTCTGAGTTTCTCCGAGAAAATGGAGGTGAGGTGAAGCTCAGTCACATTTACTGGTTCCTTCCTTTAAATTGAAGATTCCCTTGTTCTATTGTTATCACGTTTTCGCCCAAAAAGGGATGCCCAGCCGGTGTTAAATGAGCTCTGTTATTATGAATTAGTAGGTGAATTATTCTTTCTAAAGAACTTAGTAAGTAAATTTTTGAAGTAACAAAGTCCTGGCTTTGAGGATTTTCATATAGGCATGCTTTCATTATCTTTGTTACTTTGCCCACCGGATGTGCTAAAGGGTTACATCTTATTCCGTCAATGACATCTACCTGACTAATATATCCCTGTGAACGGAACATCTATGTATCTAGAAGAAGATAATATTTGGAGTGTAAAACATTATTATCCACTGTACTACTGGTTCCTTACTGGTTCCTTCCTTTAAATTGAAGATTCCCTTGTTCTATTGTTATCACGTTTTCGCCCAAAAAGGGATGCCCAGCCGGTGTTAAATGAGCTCTGTTATTATGAATTAGTAGGTGAATTATTCTTTCTAAAGAACTTAGTAAGTAAATTTTTGAAGTAACAAAGTCCTGGCTTTGAGGATTTTCATATAGGCATGCTTTCATTATCTTTGTTACTTTGCCCACCGGATGTGCTAAAGGGTTACATCTTATTCCGTCAATGACATCTACCTGACTAATATATCCCTGTGAACGGAACATCTATGTATCTAGAAGAAGATAATATTTGGAGTGTANGCCACGGATAGTGAAAGATTTTTATGAGGTGCTTGGCGTCAATCGGAATGCAACTGCATCTGAAATCAAGAAAGCTTATTATGGGGTATGTTTTTTATCCCCCTCTTAGTTGGTTGATCTTGTCCTTTAAGGTTTGTAATTGTAAAAATTCATTGACTTACTACTCGAATAGGGGTTTGTAATTACTCAAGTAGCAATTTGCAATTAATTTTTATTGGAGTCGGTATCACCTTATCTCTGTTATTGGTGACACATTGTGTTATGCTTCAGCTTGCAAAGCGACTGCATCCAGATATGAACAAAGATGATCCAGATGCTGAAAAAAAGTTTCAGGAAGTTCAAAAGGCTTATGAGGTACTTGTCACTTTGGAGAACTTTTTTATCTATAAAAGGTTGTTTTTGAAGTCAGTACCACATGGATTTTTGTATGAAAAATTGTTTATTTCTATGTTGCAGGTTCTGAAGGATGAGAAAGCACGTGAACAATATGATCAGGTTTGGCATGTGTTATGGGTTACTTTGCACTTAATCCTGGCAGACATTTACTTCACTATTTCGTGTTATTTGCATATTAGGGGTTTATTTTGCCTAGAAACATTCAAAACTTTGATTATTATTTCTCTTGAATGAGAAGCATTCTGATGCATTGCTCATTGTGCAGCTTGGGCATGATGC